CCGCGCGGACGACGTCGCGGAGCCGCCGCGCGACGCCCTTCTCGCGCGCGCGCGACGCGATGACCGGTCGGAGGCGCGCGGCGAGCTCGTCGCTCAGCCGCGCGAGCGCCGCCGCGTCCGCGGACGGGTCCGCGAGCGCCGCGCGCTCGGCCGCCTCGAGCTCGGGCCCGTCGGCGATCGCCGCGACGTCGTCGACCATCGCGAGCGGCGTGAAGTCGCGCAGCACGGCCGGCAGGCCCGTCATGTCGCTGCCGTCGCCCTTGAGCGCGGCGAGCTCCTCGCGCAGCCCAGCGATCTCCGCGTCCTTGCGCGCGACGACCTCGTCCTTGGCGAGCGTCAGCAGCTGGGGCAGCGTGCGCTTCTCGCGCGTGTCGAGCTTCGTGCCGCCGAGCACAGCGTGCCACTCCGCTTCCGTCCGCGTCTCCGAGCTTTGGAGCAGGGACCCCGCCGAGCCCATACTTCATGCGTTTCACCTCAATTGCATCAAGCCGGGCTTTGCTCCGCCAGTGGCGCCGGCGGCGCCCCTGCGTGCGCGGCGGGGTGGTCGATTAAATTGCAGGAAAACGGCGTTCCCCGGCCGTCACACCCACGTCGCGCCCAAAACCAAGGGGCGTATCCAACGCCATCGATGGTGACGCGCTTCGCTGGCACGGACTTGTACGCCGCGGCAGCCCCGCGGAGACGAGGCCCGCGCGGTGGAGTAACCCGGAGTACAGTATCCCCCATAGAAATCCGGACTATACTTTTAGGAGTACAGGGGAGTAGGGAGTACAGAACGAAGAGTACGATAAGATAGTTGAGAAGTAGGGAGGCGTCGGGGCATCTGGATCCTGGCAGAACAGGATCGCAGAATCGGAGCACGTCCCAGATGCGCCATCATCGCGGAGACGACAGCAAATTTCGTTTGAGAGTATCGAATTCGCTCTGGGTAATAGCCCGGGCCGTCAGGAGATCATTCAGTTCCGAAATCTTTGCGATCAAGTTCCCAGTATTGCCCCTCGGAGTCGCAGGAGGTGCATGGTGCATCTGAGGCATGGATTGATGGGGCATGGAATGCATGGGATGATGGTACATGGGCATTGGAGTCAAAGGCGCATGCATTGGAGCTCCAGTGAAGAATTGATTGGAATTTGAGATGATGCTCGGATTAGCGTACGGAGGCATATACGAAGGAGGCACAGGCGAGTCCACAGCAGGAGTCGGAGAAGTTCGTGTAGCAGGTGCCGGGGCTTGCGAATCATCCATGAGAGCATTCATCCCATCCATGCCATCATCGTCATTCTCGAACTCTTTATCCAGCTCCGAAGCAAGACCTGAAGCAAGTCGATCCAAGTCCACATCTGACCTCTTAATTTGCTCCGGCATCGTAGCGTTGATCGATTCCACGAGGTCACTGCTAGGTGTGCAATCCTTGTAGTACTTGGTGACATTGGGCGGATGGGAGAGAAGAAGAGCGAGACGTGCGTGGTCTGCGCTGCTCTTCATGGCTCCGGTACGATAAGTCCCTGCATTGGAATCCATGGCTGAAATTGCTTTGAGTCGGCTTGTGACGTGACCCAGGTGCGGGGTGGGTTGGGGACCGGCTGTCAGAGCGCTTCCGAGCTCCGACAGCCACTCGATCCCGCATACGTATGCGTTTAACACAACGCCGGAATGATATATATCACGAATAACTAGAGTTAAGATTTAAAATAAGGGGGGTCGACGATGGGCCCCTACTTCGACGACGCCTCACAGAGCGACGGCAGAGAGAAAACATGACCAGCAGAATGCAGGAGGCGGAAGGGTGACTCCACTCAGAGTAGACCGCTCGAGGCTGCGTCGCACCGGCCTCGGGCTGCGCCCTCGGACGGTACTCCTTGCCCCTCGGGTCTACTCTTCACTGGGAAAGCGCCACGTGCGTCTATGCGCTCCTCGCTGCGTGCGTCGTGTTCGTGCTCGAGCTCGGCGCGACGTCGAGCGCGTTCCTGGGGAAGGTCAATTCGTCGCTCCCGTTTTCTGTCGTGATGTTCAGGCGCATGATTACCCAGGAGGTGTTTTTCTCCGAAAGTGTCGCGAAGGCGCTCCTCTACGTCGCGCTCGTCCCTTCCATGTTCGCGCGATGGTCCGTGCTCGTCTGGCCGGGCGTCCACCTCCTCGCCGTCGCCGCGCTACGTCGGCGACGCGCTCCTGCCGCCGCGGGCCGCGCCGGACTTTGGCGTCTACGCCCCCGTGCCCTCCGAGACGACCTTCTGAGCAATCGAGGCGCTCCGAGGTCGGCCCGAGGCTCGCGCGCGCCCACCGGCCGGTTCCGTCGACCTGAGCCCCGCGCCGCCGCGGACTAAGCTCCCCTCGCGCCCACCGGCCGGTGCCGTGCCTTGTGGCGCCGGAGCTTCGGGAGCGCGAGGCCGACGGCGTAGAGGTCCGCGAGCCAGAGCTGGGCGTAGGCGACGTCGTCGAGGGCGACGAGGCCGTGCTCGTAGAGGGCGACGTAGGCGTCCTCGACCGCGCGCGCGACGGAGCCGCCCGGCCGGTGCGGCGCGACGCCGTCGAGCACGCGGACGACGGCGTCGGCCTTCTCGTACAAGGGCCGCTCGCTCATGTAGTCGGCGAGGGCGTCGTGGTCGTTGCGGAGCTGGGTCACGCCCGGCGGCAGGAACGCGAGCCGGAGCCCCGCGGCCCGGAGCACGCGCTGCGCGACGAAGCCGCGCCAGATGTCGGCGACGCGGCCGTGGACGGACGCGGGCAGGAGCAGCGCCCAGAAGGCGGCCCGGTCGAACAAGGTCGCCTGGGCGTTGAAGGGGCAGACGGCGCCGCCGTCGAGGACGACGCCGCGGCCGTGGGACGAGGGGAAGTCGAAGGGCAGCGGCAGCGCCGCGCGGGGCCCGAGGCGGTAGATGGCGTCGACGTCCGGGTCGTGGTTCGCGAGGAGCTGGGCGACGACGACGTCGTCGGCCGCGCGCGGGTCGTCGGCCGCGGCCGCGGCCGCGGGGCCGTTGATCGCGTCCAACGGTAATCCCCGGGGCCACGCCTTCTCCGCGCCGAACGACGCCGCGTAGGCGTTGAAGAAGGCGCTCCCGGCGTCGGGCGCGTCGGGCGCCGCGAGGCGCGGGTCCGACGCCCGCGCCGCCGCACCGGCCGAGGCCGGCGGCGCGCCGAGGAGCACGTTGTCGTCGTCGAAGTCAAAGATCGTCGCCGCGCCCGCGTGGATGGCGTAGAGGTAGCCCAGGTTCTTGCGCGCGAAGTGGTCCCAGGGCGTCGCGCTCGCGAGGCCGTAGGGCAGGGTCTCCTGCGCCGCGGCGCTCAGGTACGCGACGGTCGCCGGCGCCGCGGCCGCGAGCGCCTCGTAAGGGCCGTCGGCGGTCTTCCGGTCGCCGACGACGACGAGGCACCAGCCCGACGCGTTGCCCACGCGCAGGATCGCCTCGCTCGGCGGATTGATCGTCGTCACGACGCCGCAGCGCTCGCAGGCCGACCAGGGCCGCGGCAGCGGCGACGCGCTCCGGTTCACCGTGTCGCCGAGGCGCGGCCCGGCGTAGGTCGCCACGCGCTGCGGTTTGTAGCGCTGACCGGACGTCGCGGCGCTCGACGCGCCGAGGTCGCGGCGCGGCCGCGCGCGCTGGGACGACGTCACCAGCCACAGGGCCGCGGCCGCGAACAGGCGCCGCGGGCAGCCCATTGTCGCCAAGGAGTAATAAATAGTATATATATATAGGATCAAAACCAAGAAGGACCTCACCAAGAGACCTTAATATCAATATGGACCCCGCCTTCCAAAATAATGTCGAAATGGACCTCACTTCAAAACAAAATATCAAAAGGGACCTCACCGTCCACCATTTTTGACCATCATTACCTGGAATTTAATGTCCCATCATATCGACGCGTCTTCCCATAATTAATACCAAGACGGACCTCACCTTCAAATTTTTGTTGTTTTTTCTTAGAGAAGGAGCGTGGTAGCGCACCACGTGCGTGGGGCCCCGCTTACATGGGGCGACACTCTCGTGGCCTGAGCTGCCTACTCTTCGTCGGAGTCGGGGTAAAGGCCGCTGGGCTTGAATTTGAAGTAGTCCTCGAGTGAGCTCGAGCTACAGGGTGGTAAACTGATTAAATCCTACTTGGGCGTACTCGGGGAGGTGTCGGGCGACTTCCCCTTGGCCCCCGGCGAGTTCCTGGCACCGACTTTCTGGGCCGACTTTCTGGGCCGGTCGGTCGCCGCCGCCGCCGCTCAAGCCGTCTGAATCACCCTGGGGTTTTCCCGTTGTTATAGTGCCTAAGCCACAGAATAAGGGCTGGCGCATGTGGCCGAGCTCAAGCCCGGGCCGCTGCGGCAGAGACAAGAGTAGCATAGCGCTCTTCCAGAGGAGCCAGGAACGCCTAGGATACCCGTAACGCAGTCTCACTCTGATCTGGGCTATGCTCCCGCTTTCGCGCTGTGCATTGGAATCCATGCTGAAATGCTTG